TTCGTGCAGGAGGTGCCTTGGTAAATACTTGTGAATGCTGGAAAGGCTCCTACGAAGCCACAACCTGCAGCTCCGATCCAAGACGAACGTGATACAGGCCACCATGCGGTTTCTTCGAACTCATGCAGCCGTTGGGAGTCCGCTTGATCCTAGCAGGCCCTGCAGAAGCCCCTATTCCGAAGGGGCTTAATGCACCACGCTTAGGCAAGACTGTGTAAAGTATTTATCGCATGTCATTTGTTTGCTCCGCGCTTGCAGATCCAAGGTTTCTGGACCAAGGAAGTGGGGCCCAAGTGGCTACAATCAGCCTGGCGGCAAGCCAGATCCTCCACAGGCTGACGGATCCGGTTGAATGTCTTAGTCCGACACAACCCAAGCTCTCTTGATCGGAAGCCCTGCCAGGCCATGAGCCACGAGAAGCCCTTACCACCAGAACCCATGCAGGCGCTTTCACGGGGTCAATCCAACAGGCTCCCAGTATGGCAGTATCCGCTTAGTATGTGGCAGGCACCTGTGCCAAAGACCACCACCCCGAAACCAGCTGAACCTGCATTTGACTGAGTCTGTTTGTTTTGCGATGGAGCATGACGGAGACACTGCCGACATGCCAGACTCGTGCACTGAAGGTTGTGAGCGAGAAGCAGAAGATGGCTGCAGCCCTCTTCAGTGGCCTCGGAGGTGCTGCGGCACCTGCGCCTGCGCCTGCGCCAGCTGCGCCTGCAGCGCCAAAGCCACCTCCAGCCATGTACCCAGCTTGAGAACTGGACAAGTTCCTGACATAAACTGTTCATTGCTCAGGCTCGCGCTCGCGAGCCGGCCGTTGAGAAGGTGCTTCTGCGGCTTGCGATTCTTCATCGGCCAATCTGCGACTTCGCCAACTTTCTCAGTTTGTCAAGGCATCAGAGCCTTCGCAGCCTGTTTCAGCTGCCGTGGACCTGCTGGATCTAGATGATGCAGCTCCGGCACCGGCTCCGTCGCAGAAAGCCGATGGGGACATGCTCCTCTTGGACATGGTCAGATCCTCAGCGGTGCCAGGGCCACGCAGCGTTCACCTCCGGCCTTTCAGTAACCAGCAGGCGAAGAGGCATTCACTCGACATAAACCGGTTCCCGTTCCGTTGAACCCTCGATCTAGAATCTAGAATCTATTTGCACGATTCGCCAGGGGCAATTCAACTGAAAACTCATTGCCTCATTGGGTGCTCAGAAACAACAAAGCTCGGTAACCTCGGAATCTGAGCATCTGCTTGTATCAGAGGCTACTATAGTTGCGCCAGAACATACTCAGGATGATGCAAGCCCAAGCCCTGCGGCGATCTCAGTCATGCTCGCGCAGATCTATCTATCTATCTATCTATCTATCTATCTATCCATCTATCTATCTATCTATCTATCTATCTATCTATCTATCTATCTATATATGTTATATACAAATGGATATATATATATATATACACATGTATATATCCATACACATGTACATATATATATATATATATTTAAATACACACATACATACACATATGCATACACATATACATAAACATTTTCATATACGTATGCGTATACATATATATATATATACACACATATATATATACATATATATATATACATATATATACACATATATATACATATATATATATATATATATATATATATGCGTGTGTCTGTGTCACTTACCATGGCTGCCCTGTGCTGCCTGTTGATGCTTCGAGGCACCGCCACAGATGCCTCAGCAGCAGCAGCAGCAGCCGTCTATCCTGGGGCCGCTTCAGGCTTCTGATTTATCATGGATCCCGATTGCATGACCCACTGTAATCCACTGTATGCCTCAAAGTCAGAAAGGAGGCATAGAAGGTCTGTGCCCCATCCTATACAGCAGCTGTGGGAGTATGCAGACTCTTTTGTCAAATTCCTTCACACCTAGACTGACGCAAGCATTCGAAGGTTACCACCGCCCAAGTAGCCGCCACTTGGCCACAGCTGGCGTCTGAGCGCATTGTCCAGATGCACACGTCTGTGGGCAGAGCTGCCATGGTTGATCGAGCTTCGCGCATCATGCATTCACCAATCCAAACAAGCAGTCCTGTGACTGCTTGCCTCAGCTGGTTTCGCTTGCAGATGTGACCCCTGCTAGTCGGCAGAGCTTTGTTTTCTGTAAAAGTATGTCCTTGGTCTTTTTTCAGCCTTGGCCTCCTGCTCAAGGGTTTCAAGGTGACACTCGCGGATTATGGAAGAGCCGCATCAGCCCGAGAGCCAAACAGTGGGGCTCACGACCCCATAGCTCAGACAGCCTTGTCCAAAGGACGCTCAACTAGTAACTCGAAATAGAATGCGAGCAGGAAATGTGGCAAGTCTTTGAGATCCAGAACTGATGATGCTGGAAGTGTTCGTGCTGATCGTAGTCCGTGCCGCATTGTCGCCACTCTTCAGAGCCGGTATTATTTTGCAGACCAACTTCCTGAGGTGGAAGCTTCTTTCGGCACTCAGGATATGGTCCATGCTAGTCGCCACAAGACTGGTCGTGAGAAGTGAGAGGGTGTTGCCTCGATCTGCACCTTCTGCTCTACGGCTGGAACTGGGCACGAGCCAAAACTAAACGGAGCTGTCCACGCTCTGCTGATGGGGGCTGGAAACAAGCAAACACCATTGAGCCGATGATGGGTCTCTGGGATTTCCAGGCTGTCAAGACCGAGTAGGCTATCAGGTCGGCCGGATCCACATTTCATCCGAGGCGTGCACTCACAGTGAAGCAGTTCAACACGGAACAAAGCCGGGTCAGCTTCAGGGATACTGGTGAAGCGTATTCGGCAGCCGTGTTTTCCCTGGCCAACTCTCAGCTGACACGACTTGAATGAGTGCACCTGTGATTTCGAAGATAAAGTTTTTGCAGGGCTATTGCTAGCCTGCGCCGGTGGAAGCTGAACCTTTCCCTGCCAAAGCCAACCCAGCTACTTCGTTCAAACAAAGCAGAACCAGAACCCTTACAGCTGTAGGTCGGGCGCAAGAGACTTACAAGACTCAACCCAGTTTCATTCTTGGGTTGTTGCCTTTACACTGGCATCTCCTGCGCCAAGCTCGCTTGTGTTCGTCCTGTTCTTGCGGCTGTTTTGGGGACTGTCTCAGAGATCTCAGAGTCAATGTGATGAGATGAGTCCCTCGGAATTCTCCTCCGCATGACCTCCTCTCACCGACCCGGCACTGCGCCAGGAAGCTGCCAGGAGATGATGCTTCGACTGCAGGGCGCAGTGAACGTCAGCCCCGTGGAGATTGTGGGTCTCGTCCTCAAAGCATGTCAGGTCTTCCGCTTCTTCTTTTCGGCCCTTCGGCCCCAACACTTTCAAGCCTGAGTACCTTGAACACCGCGACTCCAGAACTTCCAGAACAGGTGCACAGGTTCTTTCCAACAAAGGCTGGCTTAAGGCGCTCGAACTTGTGGATCAGGCGGAAACCGGCTAGTTCGAAGGCAGCCGAATCATCGATTTCCGTGGACCGCCGCAACTGCTTTGGCATGGTCCAGGAAAGTCCAGCGCTTCGAGAGAGAGCGTCCCTACCAAATTGTGTTAGGAGAGTAATGGCACGCAAGCAGAGGAAGCATATTTGCAAGCCAGAGTTTTGAGAAACTCAGTGACGCCGTGCATCGCCGAGTCAAAACCGAAGGTTCACATACGTATTGGATGATACCTGAACTAACGAAAACATGAGACCAAACGTGCCGCTTGTACTCATGCAACGCATGCGGTTGGTCGCAGCGTTGAATACTGCAGTCGTTTCGGTGTTGAGTGGTGGGTTCAGGACAGTTAAGAGTATAGGGATTACAGTTATGACTCGACACCGGAACGACTGGAGTTTGGAGGTTTTGGGATTCCGAGTTTTTGAGTTTAACAACGACGCTGACAAGACCGAGTTGGGTGTTGAGAGATGTTGCGAGTGTTTGTTGATCCCTCTCCCTCTCTGCGCGGCGCTCGGGTCTCAGGCATGGAGGGCATCGCGGCCGGTCGAGTTCTCCCCGGAAACGACCCCTGCTTCTTGCATGGTGCGCCCAAGCACAGCCTGGAATTTGGGTCTGAAGTTCGTGTCTGCCCTGCCTGCGGCCGTGCAGGGAAGCTTGCTCCTCCTCGGCTCGACATCAAGGTTAGATGCCGCGATCCAGGCACCTTCACTGTCCAACGCCCGTTTTTCCCTTCAGCAGCCAACGAGCCGAAATGTAATCCTCTTGCAATCAGATCTGCGTCTGAAAGCAGACACAGGTGAAGGCAGTGCTCTAGGCCAGGCCACGAGCTACAATACGCATACGACGCTGCCAAAGAGAAGGAGTTTTTGGGTCAGGGTGCAAGTAGAAACTGATTCGTTTTGTCACTGCTGTAGACCCATGACTGCAGGTGTGGCGCAAAGCGTTGCGGATCTTTGCCAAAGGTCGTTGGCTTGACCACGGTCTTTTAAACAGGCATAGATTCGATCCGTCCAGCGGAAAAGAAAGCCGGCGCGGCAGGTGTATGCCGAGGAGTCTGCGTGACTTGATCATAGGTTGCGACCGAGCAGTGCATTCAAACTCAGATTGTTTCTCAACTCTCATACACATGTTAGATGTGTTGATGTAAGTTGCGAGTGTGACTTTCAGCCTTCAGGTTGCATGGATCTTGCATTTCATAGGCTACAACTAGTCGACGGTGTCAGCTGTGTGCTGCGATCTGTTCAGCTGCCAATTGCGGTTTACCGGTGACCTCTGGACCCTTGCAAAGTCTGTCGTGGCAGGCTGACTAACCCAGTAGAGCTGTAATCTGGCAACCTGGCATATCATTGCAGCGTGAGTGCTGGATGACTCGGAATGAACACTCCTTGGAGGTGTTGGAGCCACCTGTCCCACAGCCTAGCCGCCTAGACTTAATCACGAGCTGGCTTTGGAGTGTGTGCCATGGTTGGAACCGCGGACAATGGTGTGTTGGAGGGCTGGTTGCATTCTGACGACTGCATGCAGAGAGTCTAGTGGTTAGGATGGTTCGCACTGGAGCAAATGGTCCACCGAGAGTGAGGTCTCGACGAGCTGACGGTGTGCTATTCGTTTTGGCGCTTGTTGCATCAAGTACTCTACAGGGCTGCCTACCTCCTGACTGGTCATTCTGCGACTGCGACTTCCGTGATAATTTCTGGGACAGTATTCTGAATGATGTACACCTGCTCTGGGATGGTCCAGACTTTGTGCGAAAAGCCAGAGATAACAGAACCTTCCAGGGAAGATATTTGCAATCGCCGCCAAGCGACCTGAACTGTCCAGTAAACCCAAGCGTTTTCTGGAAGGCCTGGCCGCAGTACGGAATTACACGTGGGCTGATTGAGGGCTCAATGGGAGATCTCTGGATGCCCGGAGCCAGAGACAGGTTCAAACAAGTTTGTATAGCAGGGCACCTGGCCTTGATGGCAATCTGCTCACAGCACTTCTTGGTGAAATCTGCACGAGCACAGGAGGCAGGCGATCCTGACCACATGAAGTGGCTTGAGGCATCTTTCGGTCACATGGTCGCAATTCGTAACCTGGGCCAGGCATACCAAATTCGGCAATGCATGGGTCAGCAAGGTTGGTCGCTGGATGTCGGCGCTTTCCATAAGTATACTGAAAGATGGATAGGCCGAGAAGCTGCTGGGACTGTTCCTCAAGCTGCATTTTTCAACGGTCAGGTCGACCCTTGGCAAATGCTTTTCACCAAGCCGATGCACCACAACGAGGAGAGCCGAGCCGCGGCCTTGCCGGATCGACGTGTCTGTGTTCCCTTTAAGGACCCGGCATGTTGGAAGCGGAAATCCCAGTTGCTAATAGAGACGTGCGAGTATTGCTGCAACCCCTTCCAACACAAGACAGGGCGTGGTGCGAGCTGGTGCTGGGATGACGAATGGACATATGAGAGATGTTGCCAGCAGGACTACAAAGACCTTGTGTGCGAAGTGCAGCGAAAGGGCGAGGAAGGCGGATGCGTCGACTGCAAAAAGTCCGTGACATACAACTGCATGACGCCGCCCGAAAAGCGGTTGAAGGATGCTCAGGACAACTACAACAAGAAGGTTGATCTCTTTAATAGCTTGCAGGACAAAGCCCGGACACTTGCACAGGACACAGCAGCAGCAAGGGCGGACCTGATCAGCAAAGATGCAACATACCAAGAGCTTCACGCTGACCTGAACACGAAGCTCCGGATCTGGCATGTCGCATTTAATAACGCTTCAAGGCTGTTGTCGGCCGCTCGGCTGCGCCAGCAAGAGCTAACTTGGAACAATTCGAACGCGGCATTACAACAGGCACAAGCTACGCTGAGATCGGCACAAGGAGCGACATCCACTGCGCAGGCCACAGTTGCCGAGGCCAGAAGGCAAGAGCAACTGGGCAAACAGCTGCTTGCAAACAACGAGTCGGCCTATGCGAAAGCACAGAGCCACCAGGCAGCAACCAAAGAAGCTCTAACGAAGAGCCAGGACCAGCGGAAAGCAGCGGAGACGGTGGCTGCGGAAGCCGAAGCGACGCTGGAGGCCGCAAAGACAACTGCCAAGGCGGCCTTTGAGACCTCGCTTTCTGCGAATGAGTCTTCAGATGCTACCCACAGAGACACCAGAAAGCCCTTAGAGGAGGCGTCGTCTTTGAGAGACGCACTGCGAGCAACGGCCTGGGCGAGTCAATCCCGGCACGCCGCCTTCTCTGCAGCTCTGCAAAGAGCGTCTTCGCAGTCCGCCAGCGCCAGCTGTCAGGAGCGATCCGTCGACACCGCGACAACAGCAGCTCGGGTTCGTTCTGCAGAGCGATCGGTCAAGGAGGCAGCAGCCGTCCGCAACCGCAGCGCAGAAGATCTTCAGGTGGCTGCAAAGGCTGAAGAACTCTTTCACCAAGTGCTCACCAATTGTACAGTGGGACCTCATGGATCATCTGCTGCACGATGTCTCATTGATGTCACACCGGCCAACAAGTCCGCGAAGCCTCTTTTGTCGAAGTCGTCCTGGCGCAAAGAACTTTGCAACACCTGGCAGGCACCGCATGGATGCCCAGATGGCCAGAGCTGCGATTGCTCCATCACGTGTGACAGCGAGCCAAATGCGCAAGCCAGTGAGATGCGAATAAACACCCTTGTGCAGCAGATGCTCGAGACTCAGCGTCTGGCAGAACAGGCCCTTGCTCGGCAAAGAAGCAAAAGGGACGATTTTGATGACATCGAGGTGTACATTCCTGCTGAGCTGATCAGTGCCATGGAAGCGGCAACCCAGAAAGTTGCATCAGTGAAAGAGAAGCAAGCGGCAGCTACCAAGGATTCCAGGGAGGCACAAAACATGCTGGAGAAGGCAAAGTCTGATCGCGAAGCAGCGGACAAGAAGCAGAGAACTGCACAAGACAAGCTTGTTCAAGCACAGAGCCAGGAGAAAGACTTGCTTTCGCAGCTGACTGCAGCGCGAGCGGACTTGGACCGAAACATGACGTCGCTGCAGGAGTTGAGGCAGCGTCTGGCAGAGGCCAACCAGACAGCTCAGAAGGCGTCAACGATGCTTGCCGAAGCCATTAGACGCGAAGATTGGAGCAAGACACTTTACCACAATTTGACGAAAGAAGCAAGCAGGAAAAGGGAGGAGAATAACACGGAAGTCCTGCGAAGAGACGAAGCTGACAAGAAAGTCCAAGCGTTGAACCAGTCCCTCGCGGAGAATCTCACGGTGCTTGTCTCGGCCTGGCTGCGTCAGCAAGAGACCGCCGGTGAGGCGGGACTAGGCGTAATTCCGTTTCGCTCTGCACTCGGTTGAGCCGCTGAGCCCCTTGGCCCCTCAGGCCTCGCACTCGGCGCGTTGGAGCGAGCGGCTCCTGGCAGCGGCCAAGGCCGTCCTGGTGAACATGGCAACGGGCCCGGACTGCTGGCGCTGAAGCAGGGCAGCTGCAGCGGTACTGAACTTGAACTGTGCGTAGTGCCAAGGTGGGGTCGTTCGAGAGTTTTCTGGAAAACTATGTCATTAGCATCTCGGACAAGGAGTCCTGTCGCTGCTGCATCTGTTAAGTCCAAAAGCAGGTGATCAATCGAAACTTAAGCAACAGAGCCGTGAGGCCCATCTGTGCGGAGTAGACTCGAGCAGACACGCAGAAGAGTGTTGCAGAACTGGAGACTTTGTCCCCAACGGCCAAAGAAGGCTTACATATGCGCTGACAACCGAAATAGATCCCATCGAGAAGCCATTTCTAGGGGCCGAGCGACCTTTCCGACGCAAGCTGCCCCCACGAGTCCTGGAACTTTGCACCAGTGCAGGACGCAGCCATGCAGGTAATGCGAGCTGTGGAGGACTTGAAGGCGAGAAAACTCGAACCCAATTGGGCAGAGAGACGGAGAGAGAGCAGTGGGGGGCAAGGGGGGCATACCTCTCTTGTCCCTAGCCCTGGCGAAAGCAGTGGGGGGCGGGGACCGCCCGTACCATAGCCGCCAAAGCAAAGCAAAGCAAGAGAGAGCTTGCGGATGCTTGCAGGGAGGAGCTTGACAGTTCTCAAGACGGGAGCTAGGGATGAGGGTCTGAACACCCCTTGTGCTTGAGAGAGAGAGAGAGGGAGAGAGCCGTCCAGCCACCACAATACAGTGGACGGACAAGTGGACCAGCTGTAGCTGTTGCAGTTTGTGAGATGCGTATATCCGAAGAGTATCTTAGTCATCTCGTGCCAACCGTCTTGTAATTACTACTACATTTTGCATATGTTATTAGGAGGTGTGCTACACGTGAATGCACGAGACCACCTCTGTCCAGCTATGATTGCCCTGCGAGGGATGTTCTTACCCAATGCCTCGCCCCAAAAACGCCGAAGACACCCTGTTTTCAGCACCGCGCGAGCGAGGCCGTGGAGCTGAGTGCTCTGGAGGCCGAGAAGAACGCTGAGGACGCCGCAGAGCAGGCGGAGCTTTAGCTCAGCTCTTCTAAGAGATGCCGGGCCGGCTTTTGGGAGTCTTCGTCTTTCGGGTCTGTGCTCCTCAAGGTGCGGCAAGCCGAGGGCAAGGTTGCGGAAGCCGAGGCGCACAAGATTCCCGACTCAACCGAGCGTCGCTCTGTCTGGGCTCAGGCTGCCAGGACGCATTCCGATTCGAAAGCCCGCAACGCAACCAGCGCTGTTGAGGAGGCGAAGGACCGGCAAGAATTAAATGAAGCCTCCGCACAAACGCGCGCATGTTGGTGAGTCTACCGAGATGCTCGAAAGGACGATCCTTGAAGGGTAGACCCGGTTTGAAAGGAGCTCTGCAAAAATGTGATGCAAGTCTGAGGCATTTGCTGCTGACAGTCGCAAACTCGAATGTCGCGTAGGATGGTTCATGATGACACTGCAGCTGGCAAGCATTGAAAGTTCAGCACCGGCAGAAGCACCCGACAAAGATGTAAAACTCGGCTTGGGGTCCGTGACCTTCGGACAGAGGGAGAGTGCCGAGGGGCTGTTGCATGGTCTAGTGGGGCAAGGGCGGCACGCAGCAGTTCTTAGATGCCAAGGCCCATCTTGAACATGTTGCAGAAGCGAACACGATGTCTGCATCACGGCACGTCAAGCACACTGATTGTTGGAATGCATGAGAAGTCAAGGGACGAATTCGCTGTGATTGCCGGCTGGAAGACACTCTCCCGGGAAGGGGACGCCGGACCGCTCCACGTCCCCCGACCTTCCACCCAGCGCCTGGGGGCATTTTCAGGCGTATACGGATGAAACGGGAGATAAGCAGCCGCTGCCAGAAAGAAAACCACAGAGACTGTCGGCACAATACTGTATGCCCGGAAACGACTCCGTCTGACAGCTCTGATCCTCGTAGGGCAATCCGTACCATGTGGTGAGTGGAACTTCCACGCTGGAGTTCGGACTGCGCCTCTGGGATTGCTTGCAGGATGTTCTGCTTTCTGCAGAGCGCTTGCTGAACCAGACCAGGCACGTCCTTACACATTGTAGCTGAAAGCATCTGGCAGTCTCGAGATGTTTCGAAAGCCAGTACGTGCCTTTGTATGAAGTCTTTCGAGTTGTTTTTGGTGTGGAAGTGTGGTTGAAACGCATGGGATGTAAGCCGAGCTCGTCGACAGGGTCGTCGTCGACACTGTCGGGCAACAGCTGCAAGATGTGAAGACGTTGGTTGGCAAGATCAAGGCCTAGCCGCCTCGTCTGCTAACTTCCATCTTCCGCCACGCATTGCACACTTGCACAGGCTGAGGTCGATGCCGCAGTGTCAGATCATCAAAAGGCTGTTCGTGCAGTCGAACAGCACGCAGACAGCGTGAGGACGGGTTCAGGGGGGGCTGAACTCGCTTGAAGACTTCAGCAGGAGGAACTTTCTATGCTTTGCATTTGTTTTTCTATGTGCGACGTCTGTGGGTGGGAGTGGGAGAATGAGGTTGCTCCCCGGAGCGGGGGGTGGGGACTGCGCACTCCTCATACCCCGAGCAAAGCAAAGAGCACAAAGAAAGAGAGAGAGAGAGAGAGAGAACGAGGCCCATGTATAGCCGAGCTTTCATAGGGCATAGGCATAGAAGACCAAGACGCCCGTGAACCGCGGGTGCACGTGCGCGTGCGGAGATGGGGGGCTGGACCGCCGCCCTCTCCTGTCCCGGCAGCAGGCAAACGAGAGAGAGAGAGCCTCACTCACCTTTTCTGAGATGGCACTAGTCTTCGTGCCCTTTTCTCCCCATAACGCTAGCGACTGTGTACTTTGGCGCGGCATCGACCCGCACGTTTTTGCGTGACTTCGCTTTGGTAGTCTCTCTCTCCAACTTCGTTTAACACCCGGCACGGGGCGACCCCATTCCATCCATCTTTTCCGCTTTTCAATAACGGGCCGCTGGAGCCTCCATATTCCTCGAAACCTCGCCCCCTCTCTGGGGCTAAGCACATGTGCATGTTCTTTCATACAGTACCATATCAGTTCCATGGCCGGTGACTCAGACTTCCAAAGCCCCTTGCCCGCGCGCGTTTGCGCCCCCGACTGTTGCGGAGCGACATGTTAAATCGGCAAGCTCCAACAGGGTTACGATCACTGCCTTTCGAAGTTCACAAACTACAAGGACACAGCGAGCCAACTTAGGTATTCCATATAAGAAAAAGATAACCAAGGCAGAAGTGTACGCATCGTCCCCGTTGTCCCTAGCCCTGGCGAAAGGAAGAAAGAGAGAGAGAGAGAGAGCGACATAGCATTGCGTGTAGGGGGTCAAACCCCTACACCCTAACCCTGGCGAAAGAAAAGCGACATAGCATTTTCGTTGCTTGTTGTTGCCGGCCTACGAGGGGGACACACGAGTATTGAGAATTTGCCCTTCAACGTTTTCTCCAAGAGTGAAGGAGAACAGTTTACAACATGACCTATATGCCACAGGCTGATGGTTGTGTCTTGTCTTCATGTTTCGCGCGCACCGGCATGTGGTCTAATTAGCGCAGGTGTCCGAACGAACTGAACATAGGGGAACAATGGTGACGCATAGTATAAAGTGAACGTTGTCTTGACCACCGTATCCCTACGTTGACTTTCACAGTCCCCTCAAAGCCGCACAACAAATGGGGGCCCATGTGGCCGGGGGACCTAACCAGTCCCTCATGCCCAGTGTTCAGAAGAGATAGACTGAAGGAAAGAAAGAGCCTGACCGGCCTGACCCACGCTCCAAGGAAAACTGGAAGGAAGGGAAGCCTGAAATTAATGCAGCGTTGTAGGTTTTACACCGGCTACAGAGGGATCCGCAATTCAAGCTATTTTATGTCAATGTCTTTTGGGAGCCGCAGTCTCATAAGACTTCCAGGCTTACTTCTTAGCAGGAATAGTGGGGTAACTTTGCCACTTGCACATCAGGTTGAGGTTTGCTTGCAGCGAGCATGGGGTTCCCGATCGGACGGGCCGACGAATTCGAGGGACAAAGTGAGTGCGGGGATCTGGTTAACACCTGAACTCGCACCGCAGGAAGGTATGAAGAATTTTTGGGGTGCCTTTTCTTGTCGTTGCAAGGCCTTCTTAGCTTCTTGAGCACATGATCACTGGGCCCAGGTCCTAAGTTGTAGGTCCTAGGTACTTGTAGTCCGATAGTGTCAGTTTGACAATGATGTTCGGGTCCGGTGTGAAATCGTCAAGCCCAGGCCCCACAAAGATGGGCACATAGTACACCGGGACATCGCCAATGGATAGTCCAGCACAAGTTTTCGACAGCATTGGGGATCTTGACAGTTCCGAGCCTTCAGCATCCAGCAACTGGCCTGAGTGTGCCCCAAATTTGCCCGAGCACGAGCTTTTTTGTGAATCCCGTTGGCCTTAGTCTTAGACTCGAAGGAAGGAAGGCAGGAAGGCAGGAAGGAAGGAAGGAAGGAAGGAAGGAAGGAAGGAAGGGAAGAGGTGTCATGCTGACAACGGCCACCAAACCTTCAGCTTCTCAACAGTCCCCCCCAGCAGCCGGACGGTTGGTCAGGGCCTGGTCAGTTACAGTCTTGCTCGGAAGTTTCAACTCGGACAGGACGACAGCACAGAATGTGGAAGCTGCGGATGCTGAGGTTGCGAAGGCCGCTCTCCTCGTCTTGTGTTAGAAAGCGCCTACAGCAGGACACCTGATCAGCCTCAAAACTCCTGGAGGCTCTTGCTGGCCACTCAGCGGCCGAAGCAAAAATCGCGAGCGCCAAAGATGCATCCCTTGGGAGCACTCTGGCTGAACGCGAGACGTTTCGGGCGACAGGTTGTCAAATGTCAGACTTGGAGTGTCGAAGGCAGTCTACAAGCAGCAAAGCGGAAATGCAAGCCGAGTGAGCAGGAGTTCCAGGCCAAGCTGCAAGACGGTTTGTTGCAACAAAACTGCGTTCCGTTCCTGACATGTTTTGCCTTGGCCAGCCCCTCCCGTGACATGGACAGGGGGCAAAGGACCGGAGCACATGTAATAAAGTACCAGAGCGTGTATGCTGTGGCTAGAGACCTCGGAAAGGCTCATGCCCGCGGCAGAATCGCACAGGAGTTGACCTTGCGAATCCTGGTTGTTGTACAAGTGTAATACATTCTCACGCCCGTCCCGTCGGCGCCGGCCGCGGCCACGTTCTGCATCCTGAGCTCTGCCCTTCAGCCTTCACGGTTGTGACGTTCTGTGGATCCTTGCCACCATGCCTTTGCGGATTCGCTTCAGAAGTTGGAAAGCCCTGCCTTCTCAAAGTCGTTCTTGACAAGCGAACTTCAATTGCGATCTCCAGTCGTGGGATGCCTAGGGCGTCTGCCGAGAGCGATCCCCTCCTGCGGCTGGCACCGGAATTTTCGATCCCGTGCATCGCACGGTGAACGACGGATCCTGCGAGGGCAGATGTGCATAGGAGAAGAGAGTAGCACTGCATATTCTTGACTTGGCTTGGCACATGATTATGAAATCAGCGTGTAGAATGACAGCCCTCTGTTTTGCGTGCTAAAGGAGATGTGGAGTGTAGGGTAAGCCCACAGATTGGTACCTGTACCACTGGAACGGTGCAAGGAAGACGCCACGCGAAAGAGCTGAGTAGAAATTACGGTGATTCATGGCATTGAGCAGGGTTCTCATCAACAGATGCATCAACCAAGTTCAAGACAGAATGTCGCACTCAGTCAGCGTCAGCATGCACAAGGGCAACAAAAAAAGTCCATGTGTGCAAGGCATTGTAGTAATCGTTTCCATCCCACCCCCTATTCTCAAGCTTCTGGATGAGGGAACGTAGTCGTTGAACGAACATATATATATATATATATATGTACATGTGATGTCGAGCAAACTCTGAAGGCTTGTGTTGGCCATTCGTGGTTACCATCATGCATGGTTACCGGAGGCACGTCGACAAGTCACGAAGAAGAGAAAACCTTACACGTCATCACGCTCGGGGTTTCCGTGCAACCACAAGTCTTGCTTCAAGCATAACGATGCAAACAAACACGGCAAGCACGTTTAGAGGTCACCGTGCACTGACTGCGTCCGTCGGGCATGCACAGTCGATCTTGATGAAGATGAAGACGCAGTCGAAGATTAAGCTAAACACGAAGATGCAGAGGAATACATAATAATAAATCATATCATGAAAGTGATGACAGCGAAGATGCGACGATAGTTTTGGTACAATGTGCAGGGCAAACACAAGGAACAACAGGCACAAATAGCACTGACAGGATCTGTGTGTGGACTAGCATCCGGCCGCAGACGCAGGGAATGCTGAAGCACGACATTCTGAGCAAAGGTGAGGCCGGTACGTTTGTACGGAGAGGGGAATTCGGAGAGGGCTTCTTCGTACACCGGGACCCCCTCCACAACTTGCAGAATAGGAAAAGCTTTGGACAGATCACAAGTTCGAACCGAATAATCCTTCGGCCGACCAAGAACTGCCTCACCTGTACCGACGACGTCAGATGCACAGTCTTTTTCCAGCCACCCGGAGGATGCTGAAATCAGCACCCGCCACTGCACTCAGAGCCGTGGAGTGATCGGAGTTCCTCATACCACCGCCACACAGCCTTGGAAGCACAGTTGAAAGCTGATCAACATGATAGTTCGTTTCATAACTGCCGTTGAATTATTGATAATGATGGTGGTGAGAACAATCGAAAATGAGCATATGATTTTGGTAGGTATGCCAGACGCCAAGAATGGCATGCACTACGGTCCCTTCCGTCTGCTGCGGCGAGATGTCAGATGACAGATGATGAGCAAGGGTGAGGCCGGCACTTTTACACGGCTGGGCATGGTCCTCGTAGACCGGAACGCCCTCCAGATCCTCCAGGTCCTGCGCAGATTGGAAGAGGAAGCAGCATGTGACATTGATGTACGAAAGGTTCGTACCACAAATTCCCGCCGACCCACACACACACACACACACACGAAGATAGAGCTTGAGATCGGCGAAGAGGGCGATTGATAAGCAGATTGAAAACTGACTTGCGGGTTCGTTGTTTTGCAGAAGATATATTTTGTGGTGGCAAACCATTGGCAAACACTAGCTTGCGATTGTTGAAGTGACAATTGCTGAGCATGGTTAGTGGTTATGTGTGTTCGGTGGCCGTTGTGGTCTCAAGGATCACACCCGAAGTTTTTTCTAGGGGTGGTTCAGCAACAAGTGGGTGCGAGGTACATGGGCCTGGTGGTCGTTCCCGAACCTCTCAAGCTGGATTCCTTTTGGGGAGGGCCACTCGTTGGGGGTTGGAGGCACCGGGCCTTGACCTGACACTTTTAGCGGTGTGCATTTGCGTTTGAGTTGTGGGATCGTGTTGTGGCGGCGATCCATACCCATGCGGGCTCCGCCCGCAAACCCCACCTCTTTGATTCCTTGGGGAGGTGGGCTCAGATCGCCAAGCAGGCGGCCAACTTCACGAGGAGCAAGGGGCGTCGCTCCCGGTGCTTCAGACGCCCCATGGAGATCCTGCCCCAACATCGCCCTCAATCCAATGCCTGCCTGGGACAGCGCGACGACGGGACTACAAGTTCAAGCAGCGGATGGTGCCGCAGCAGGAGCTCCTCCAGCACTGACCTGGGTGGGCTTGGGTCGAGATCGCTCGTAGGGCGGCTTAGCTGTTGATGGGCCAAACCGTTTGAGGTTGCTCCACAAGGAACTCCCAATCGACAGGGTCGCTTCGGTGTCACCGGACTGATGCCGTGGCATGGGAGGTCCGGAAGAAGACGCCATAATAGCCACAGTCGTGGTTGCTTCGCGAAATCGAAGCTTCACACGCCAGGTTCGGGCAGTCTATTTTTGACCTGGAAACTGTTGCCTGGCTATTGCCGTCATCAGGCAATATCAAAGACCGATGTTGCCGCACCGGGCACCACACGCAAGCATCGGCGCGCTGTGCTCCGCCGCCTAGTGTCCTACTGAGCCGTTTTCAGCACGTACGGGACTCTGCCGACCATGTCTGGCTAGGCAGACGTCTGGCAGGCGATCGCCCAGGCCCTCGGTTTGCCAAGCCGCCGGGCCAATGGCCACCGGAGCCTGCGCTGGTCATTCGAGGAGTCACGAGTTATCAATTCAAGGCCGCCCGCGGAGTCGAATTTTGGAGAATACAAACCTTCGGAAGATGGGTCTCGGATGTGATTTTCAATCATATCAAAGAGGCTCCCTTTCGGAAATTGCCATGAAGTTGTTTCGTTGGATTCCCAGCGACTACGAAGGCAGGAATTGCACGAGATGCTTCCCGGGAGCACGCAGGACAAGCTCGTCTCCGAGCCTTGTCCGTTTCGTCGGGGTCAAGGAGCACCGCTTCGGATAGTCCTTCTGAAGCAGCACGACCGCCCCAGCAACTGAACAATCTCTCATTGGTCAGTTGGTGCAAAAGGTCCTGTGGGTGTGATCCCGGACCTCTTGAGTTTTCGAATTTTCGATCCGACTAGCAGGAGGAGAGACCTTACGACGAAGCGATTGAAAAAAGAGACAGTGCATCTGGTATTTAATGGCGGTTGTTTGGGGAGCGGTTGGGCAATTGCATTCGAGCCAAACGCCCACCTAAGGTGCAAGCCTACAATGTCGCATGTTTAATGGTGTGCATCCATGAGAATCGTGTCATCCTGCTGCATGCTTGTGACTACCATGTTTTCAACCACCGCTAGCATCCATTCAGGGCGGCTCGCGACAGGTCTATCTGCACTTCCGAGAGCATCTAGGTCTCGCGAAGCACGTCGTCGTTCAATCCTCAGCATCTGTATCGGTGATGGCTAGCCGCGCTGCGGGTGTAGCGCTGTGCGAAGCAAGGTTTGCAATGCCAAAACCATTTATGCGCCGTTTGTTCCACCACTGCTGGCATAAGTGTTATTGCCTCATAGGGGCTGAGTCAGACAGTCCCGCTCCAGTGCCCGATTTTGCGTGGTCTTGTCTTGGACTCGTATCTCTTGATGCCTACCTTTCCAGGTCCAACGCATGAAGTTGCTGCAATTGGCCGATGGCGAGCTACAGCGGGAAGTGCTTGCCTTGCAGGATGCCCAGGCAGAGCTGAAGCTTGCATCTTAAGGCACATCCAGCAGACAAGCTATCTTAGAGCCGGGAACACAAGAATCATGTATTTTATGCAGAGAGAAGCAAAGACCAAGCCGTGTGCAAGCGCAGGTTCCGCTTAACTTCTTAGACAGTCAGATCAGTCAGATCAGACAGGCGCAAATAGGCAGACAGAAACGGAGATATTTGAGAAATCGACATGTCATTGGACGCGCGCGCTCAGGTGTTTGTCCAAACGTGTATGCACAACATGTCCACTCAGGATCAACCGGATGCATAAATCTCTTAAGTCTTGTTGCTACCAGTACTTTGTTTATGCACTTTACCGAAGCAGCTTCTCTCGTTTTCTCTCGGAGGTTTGTTTTCCATGGCTCTGCAGTGGTTTTCCGTGGCCCGAAAGATCCCAAAAACGAATGGCCACCTCCTGGAGTTTAAGTGAGTGTCACCTGTGCTGATGTCATGAGGAGTTTGCTGCTTTGGACTACCTAGCAGCATGTTTAGGCCGCAGCAGCAGTGTGTGGTGCAGGGCCAGTTGAATACCTTTCCTTCCACAGACGGGCAGCCGACTCTGCCACCAGGTTCTCCACGAAACGTTACAAGATGATGTATTGGATGCTGATGCTGCCGTGAAAGAGCATGCTGCGGCCAATGCGGCTGCGGACATGGATGCGCAGGTGCTGCAGGCAGGTCCTGTCAGCTTGGGTCGGACTCCTAGAGAAGCCCGTGACGAGGGAGTGATTTCTAGGCGTGGGCGAACAAATCTGGAGCGGAACTCTCCGAGCACATGGAGAAGTTCAGAGTTGCCCAGGACGTGGAAGTTGTAGAGACAAGAAAGATCTGTCGGTTTATCCCCGTTCTGGAGCATCTACAGCCCCTTCGAATTGTTCTTCGTTGACAGGGAGATGTGAATGCGGTGCTGAAGAAGCGCGAGGAGGCCTTCGCAAATAAATCGGTGCAGAACACGATATTTTGCACATACCAAGATGCCTTGCATGCGAGGCCAGCAGGTCATCTTTGTCCTTGGCTACAGCATATCTCAACGCGGCTTCACAAAGGGAGGCGTCTGAAGGTAACCTACTCCGCAGGAGCGATTTTGGAAGAGTCGAGCCTTCGCTTGCCTTGCCGGTGCTGAGAATGCAAAGCTCCTGCGCACCAGATTCGTTACTGTCAGGAAGGACGAGCTGGAAGCGGCAAAAAACCAATCGACTCGGCTTGCTTCAGTCTGGACCTTGGCCTCGCAGGGCTATCCCCCGACAAGCCCTCAGGGTCCGGCCGTCGCTCCCAGGAAAGCCTGCAAAAGACACCCTTGTTACGTTTGGGCGATTCGACACGTTGTCTTAGCAACCATAGTGTATTAAGACTGTATTATTATTGTTATTAGTCGTCATTAGTCTCTTTATTATTACCTTATCTTCTTTTATCTTGTTTTGTATTATGCTAGATTGTATTGTAGTATGTTTATGATATGAGCTTATATTATATTATATTATATTATTTTGTACTATGTTGTATAAAATCATATTTTGTTACTGTATGTTATGTTTGTCAGAATATGCTGTATTTTATGTTTTCGTATTTTATCGTGCTATGTTCTGTTATAGTGGTTTATGTTACATTGTGCTATAATATGTTGCACACACACACACAAGTGTGCATGTATGCGTGTGTTGCTGCATTTGTGCGTTCATGTCGGAACTGGGCAGCTTGTGGACATCTGCTAGGCCCCAGTCTCAGGCAAGATATCTGGCGCACCAGCACGAAGTGTCCATCCGCAATCGCAATGCAAGGGGCCTGCATGACCCACAGAGGCGTCAGCCCAACGAAAAGGCATCCGTTGCAGAAGTTTTACGCGAAGTATGCAGATTTGACTTTGCTCGCATTTTCCGAAACAACATGCGGAAGCAGCCCCATTGCCCCATCGGCTACACCTATCACCTGAGACGGTGCAGCGGGAGGTTGAGCAAGTCTGTGGTTTTCTGACCGTCGTGCCATTGTGAGATTGAGCGGAGAATGAAACAGGACGAGAAACCAAGGGCTTTGCGATCTTGCGGAACACTTTACAAGTGAGGGATGGAGTTCGCTGTTGGGCTGACTATGTCTATCATGCAGCGTCGTGACAAGCATGTCAAGGGGCGTTGGTTGAAAGCTCGCTCTTTGTCCCTTGAGGAGGATTCGCTATGAAGGTACATCTTTCAGTGTTCAGTGAACCATGATATCGCATTTTCATTGATGCTGCTGCAGTGCAGACAAAATGCTTGATCGCTTGGCTTGTGTTGTTAAAATGGTTTTGCGCCGTCATCGTTTTCAAGGGTGCCAAGTCCTTTCTACCTTTGGTACTGTCAGGCAGCACTGTTGGCCTGTGGCTAGTTTACGAATTGCGTGTGAGCCCTCCTGGCGCTGGGGTGCATGTTGGAGCTTGGCGTAAAGTTCTACAGCTTGTCACGGAGCGGGTTTCAACTCGCAAAGTACGGGGAGGAGCTGGAGGAGCCAGAACCTGCGTGAGAATGCTGCAAGATTGCAATGCCCAATACAGAACCACCTGAAAGGAGCAACTAGAAAGGGATCGGACAAGGAGCCCCAGAAAACCAACATTCACACGGGTGAGACAGCACAACCTCTGTCATGTAGTTCTTTGCAAGCAGTGAACTTGAGCAGCGGGGCTCCTCTGAGACAAATCCCCCTCACAACCCGATGTGAGGTCTGCACTCAGTCTATGTCCATGTTGTTGGAGCTTGTGCTCAAAGCAGAGTCGTTGATATATCCGAACAGTCGAAGCGAGTCCCTTGTTGCTTCGCGATGTTTGTGAGCATTAGTTTGTGAATCAAGTGCTGATGAGAAGTGGATCGTCAGTGAGATATGGCCGTTCCGCCCTTTGCTCGATGACAGGAACTTGTGAAGTCCGTGGAAGCAGAGGCAGCGGCGAAGAAGTCCGCCGAAGAGGCCAAGGTGCGACCGTTAGGGGACTTTTCAACCAAGGCTTCGACCAGTGCAGCTTACCACGCTGGGCAAGCAATGTTGGAACATGTGTATGCGGTCCGTGTTCTGAGGCTTGGCAGGCAAGCTTCAACACATCTTTGCAGATTGGAAGGTGGGAAAACCCGGGTGTGACAACGTGACGAATGGCCAAAATTTGCCAGGAAAGAGGGGCTCCTGAGGGAAGCTCAGCAGGAGCAGCAGAGATGCGAAGAAGCTGAGGTTCCCAGCAGAGGGGGGTCGGTGGGTCGCTAGAAGAGAAAGAGCCTCGGGAGGTCAATGCATCAAAAAGAGAAACCAGGATGCGCTCGTTGCTGAATACGCACAAAAAGCACCTCGTCTTGTGTGACCTGCAGGCCCGGTTGATGCGAAGCTTTGTGAAATCTTGCATGAAGTTCCACGAACTCTACAGGTTGAACTTCCTGAAAAGGAAGCACTCAGACTTGAGGCGACGGGGGATCAGAGAGCAGCGGTTTCCCAGCAGTTGCAAGACGAGGCGTACCGTTGATTCCTACCAGACTCTGCCGAGTGGCAGGCCAAAGCTGCTTTCGACAAAGCAGAAAAGGCCCTCTTGGAGGCGCAGGCAACTCACTGAGTTGCAGGGGTCCCTATCGCTTCCTTTGTGCCGCGCGCATCTGCCAGAAGAAGTTGGAGAGCCTCGCGAGTGAAGAAGCAGAGACTCATGAAAGTATTGGAAAGACCTACAAGGCAGCTCTTTGCAGATGGCTTGGTGTGCAGACTGTCGCTTCATTGGTGTCAGCTTGCCGATTGCCAAAACCGTTCCATGTTTTTCGAGCAAGTGGACTGTTTGCGAACTTGCGACGTACCATTTCGCCACATGTCAGGAGCTGGAGGAGTTGAAGGTTGAGCATTCCATAGCAGACAAGGAGTACAACGATCAGGACGCTCAGTTGGTCTCTGCGCATCTGTGCAATTTGTCATGGACGCTCTGAGCCTGTGATTTGGAGCTCACATTGCAGAGACAAGCGTGCATGGTTGACTTTGGGATGCTCTCAGGCGATGCCCTTGGCGGGCAGGCTAGGGGAAGCCGCTTCTCCTTGGCTAGTGGGTTGTTCCCTTTCAAGACGTGCGCTAGACGGTGAGCTCCTCATTACAAATTCCGGCTTCTGAATATCACCAGAGAATGACGTGATGTTGCATATCGTGCCAACGGGCGGGTCATGTTCGGTGCGCGGATAGACTGCTGCCACACCCAACAGACCCCAGCATGTTGCATTGATCAACTGTGCGTGCAATGCTGGAAAAGATGCACAGCAACATAGAGCTTCGACAAGATGACCGAGCGAGAAAGAGAGAGGGGGAGGTCTGGGGAAAGAAAGAGAGGCCTCGACAGCTCCATTAACCCCGGAGAACAGAACAGAACAGAGAGGGCAAGCAAAGAAAACTCCGAACATACTCTGTAGTTCTTTGCAGTATGCATCTGGGGCCCATTGGGGCCCCATGCCAACCACTTACTGATGCATGAGGGTTGGGCGGGCCAAAGGCCTGAGCGTCGTTACGCGACCCCTACGCCGTCTGGTCCAGGATCCGGAAGACAGAAAGCGAAGCTTCACCACATCTTTGCAAGGGTCAGGTGCATAAGTAACCTGTCAGCACTTTCACGTGCCCTCAGCTTTTTAGCAGCAGGCCTGTAAACCTGCAGAAGTGTTTCACTCGGCTCGTCAGCGGTTCCGCGAGAGAGCAGGCTTGCTGCGGGAAGGCTGAGGAAAAGTGACAATCTGCGCAGCTCTTGCACTCAAGTGTCTCGCATCCAGGGTCGGGTCAAGCCCAGCCTTCAGAGTGTGTTCCGTGCCGTCTCGGTCATTTGTACCCAGGCTCCAGAAGTGAAGTGATAGAAGGCAGTGGCTGATACGACGCGGCTTTGATGGCCTTTGATTTCGATGAGCTGGAGCTTGCAGAGTCAGAACGGCAGCCCTCCGTTCTGGCATACATATCGGATTCTCGTCAGACTCGAAAGAGCCGGGCACGCATATGGTTTGAAATCAAGCGATGCTTTGAGGCAGACACAGGACCGGGGTGTGCCGACTGGAAAGCGCGCTATGCGAGGGAGCTTCTGCTACGGGCGATCAAGGAAGCTTTGCAGCGAGATGGCTTCGTCGTCATGGATGTCGCATTGCCGGCCAGTGCAGCGCAACAGCTTGCCAAAAGATTGAAACTGTCAGGCCAGGCGCCCGAAGTTTGCTCGACAGCTGTGACAAGCGCCCTGCACAATTCCGCCGAAGAGGCGAAGGGCAATCAGTGCCCACAGTGGGTTGGGAGCCACCTGTCAAGATCCCGAGCTTCCACTGCACCGGTTTGCCAGGAGTCATGCGACTCGAAAGAGTTGTCTCCCCTTGGCCAGAACTGTGAAGTTTCCTTTGCAGGCTCCACAGGCTGCATGTCTATCCGACCGTACAGCAAGGCCGAGTTCATCAACATGATGAAGATGTTTGTTCATGCTGCTGCCGATAATTCCGTTTCGGAAGCCCAGCTCCCCGTCGCTGACAAAGTCTCGGTGCAATTCTCGTTCGGTGACCAAGAAGCCCTGCAGAAGGCCAGAGAGCACAAAGTTTCACAGAGAGAGACTTGGCTTCGGAAGAACGTGTCAGAGCCAGAGCTGGCGCTTTCTGCAACATGTTCAACTGCCCGTGGTCGTTTCCGACTCAAGGTCCAACGTTTGCAGTGTGCGTGTGTGTGCGTGTCTGTGTGTGTGTGTCTTGTTGAAATTACTGTCTTGGGCTTCCAGGGTTAAGAGTGCTCTAAGTGTTGTTCAAACGGATCAGGGTATTTCTAAGTCTTAGCTGAGGCGCAAAGGGTCTCGGGCCTGGTTTTTTAGATTTTAAATTAAGGGCATGTAGTTCAGCTTTTGTGATTGTGTTTTTGGGTGCAGGGTTGGCTCGTCTGAGATTACGGTTTTAGTTCCGGGTCTGCGCTTAAGTGCATCTGCCTGGCGTGAAACCGGTTGTGCACGAATCCAACCGCGCACGCATCGATTTTTCTGCACGAGTCGCCTCATAGCTGAGATTCACAGCTTCAGCATGCTATTCCTTCGCACCATCACCATCAGCCAAGCAGAGAACACAAAGGAGGGGTGCTAAGATGATTCTGATTCTGGACCTGACCCAGATACGTATCTAAACGCTTAAATAACTTAAATAGGTATAAATTGGTCAGCAACAAACGTCCATATTCACAAGGACAAATGCGGTGTAACACATGTAGTGTGTGCAGGGACAAGTGCGTCGAACGACGCATATGCCGCAGCTACTGCAGGCTTTGCGTCGCCCGACGATTTTGAGCCGGCAAATGTTTGACAAAGTTGTTATTTTGATTAAGGTCCCCACCAAAATCAACATCACAGGCATCAGCCGTATCACATGTCACTAACAGCATTTGCCATGATCCTGCAGGCTGCGACAGTTTCTACACTGCCGCAACCTTTGGTACCAATTCTGGAAGCCAAGTCATTCAAACTTCGCACTTGTCCCAAATTCTGAAGTTCCGAAGTTTTGATGGTTCGCATCGCGAACTCGAGATTGGCTCACAGCGAAAGGCAAGGAAATAATAACAGCCCATTTCAAGACTAAACTTCTTGCCAAAGTGGTATTGGAGCAATGCAACTGCAGAGAATGGAAAGTCGTATTTTGCAGCAACAGAAGCAGAGCAGAGAAAACGTCAAGGGTCTAAGGTCACTTGGACAAGCATGGCCAGCAGACTGAAGGTTGGATCTCGCGAAGACCGCAGAGCGGTTAGTGATTTCGCTGGCAGGCATGAAGAGGCCAGCAGAGTCTGACCTGGTGCAGTGGCCCTCGCAGTTTACGCAAGTTTGGTCTTCAAAGCTTGCACGATGCACTGAAAGATCTCAGGCCTCCGAAGACTGCCGAATCCAGAGATGCAGGTGCAGGGATGTGTTCAAAGCGGAAACAACTTGGTTCGTTCAATTGCTTTCACGTGTAGGACATTCTTGGCACCGCAAGGCAATCCCTTTGCTGGCGTATCGTTGTTCAGCAACGCATCTTCCTCGTTTCCTACGGCATCGGCTGGTGGGTGCGGGTCTTTGCGCTGCGCAACGCTTGGCACAGCTTGTCTGTCTCAATTGGCATGGGTATTCCGGGAATCCTAGAGTCCTAGAGGTGTCATGCAAAACTTGTGGCAATACTGTGGCCGCTTGCACCAGCAACCAAACAGAGAGAGAGAGAGAGAGAGAGAGCGGGTGGGTGGGCGGGCCAATGGCCTGAGGGTCGAGCGATCGACCCCTACGCCCTGCAGAAAGAAAGAGAGCGAGAAAGATATTTTCCTCAAAGCTAGCTCCTCTGGAGCTTGCGGGAGGTCTTATTCGCAGATTTGGTTTTGGGCCAGAAGAGAGTTAGGGGGCCCTTGCTCCTGATATATCAGAGATGTAAGCGTCAGCAGAAGGGGCAGCGGGGGCCGACCCCTCTGATCACTTCAGAAGGCTCTCTCGATCAGGGTCCGCCGGAGGAGGAGGCTCCCCTCCGCTCAAAAGTTTCATGCGGCAACATAGCCACAGCATATATCTGCACAACTGAGCTGCGTTTTTGTTTGTCCGTCTCTTTACGGAAGATTAGAGCTGGACACAAAACTTTCACTCGATCTCGAAATCTTGGTGGGACTGTGCGCGCGGAAGGACGCGGAAGGGCTGCGGAAGGTGTTGCTCCGCGGAAGGGCGCGGAAGCACCAAATACGTAAGTCGCCGCGCCAAAGAATCCATGTTTCGAACGAAGCATACAATACTGCTTGAGCCGTTGTCTAGGCATTTTATGCGCTGCTTATTGGTGGATGATCAAAGCTCGCTACATGGACTGGTCCCATTTTCGAGCCGAGACTGATGGTTTGCAAACCCCATTTTCGAGTCGAGGTTGGGCGGCTGCAAATCCAAAACTTGGCTTTGTTTCGAGGCACCTGAGGCCCAAACCCGTGAGGTCGCCTGGGTCGAATACCGGGTTGCGGCTCGGATCGTCAATTTTGGGGTTTCGAAGTGGGGGTAGCGCGGAAGCTGCGCGGAAGGTGTGCGGAAGGCGGGCGGAAGCCCGTAGTCCATTTGTAAGCCCGTAGTCCACCCAAGAGCTATGTCATGGTCAAGCGTAGTGTAGCAGCAGAACATGATAGAACATGCATTGGCACACAGAGAGGACCTTCATGCAGTCGATCGATTGTTGCCCGCAAGACAGGTAGTACCGGTAGGCATGGACTCGGCAGACTCAAAGCCTGCACTAGGCACTAGGGGAAACCTTGCACTCCGTGCAACGGCTGACGGCAGTAGAAACAATTCGAACTTGCCTATCCCCAAATCCCAAAATCTGGCTATGAACACAGCTATGAACCTAGCTGTTGGCGGCTTCATACTACATGGTGCCCACATTTGCTGAAAAGGAGTTAACGTAATACGTCAAGAGTGGTTTATGCTCTTGCGGAAGGGTTCGCTTGCAAAACGGTCCGCGGAAGGGCTCGCGGAAGGGACGACATGAAGTGACTCAGAAACGTGCCAACGCTTCGAGGCGCGGAAGGCTGCGGAAGCAGTGGCGGAAGGGTTGTGCGGAAGGGGTTTTTGCGTCCTTAGGATTGAAACAGAATAAATACAACACCGCTCAACTGAAGACAACAGCATTGCCTAAGACTGTTTCATACTGTTTCACTTTCACCGGAGGCATCTTGTGTGACTGGTCAAGCACATGCATCGGCGAGTTTGCAGGACGGTAAACAAACGTTTTAGAGTCTTTCCTTGCATTGAGAAACGAGCTTTGTCACGGTCGTTCAGCGCAGTCTTAGGTTTCGTGACAACGCATGCGAAGTCAATTTCCCTGTCAAACCTGATTGGATATAGCTACCAGTTCGCAACACAGCAGGCAAGCATACGCAAGCACTGTATGGTTCTCATTCGCTTACCATCAGCAGACCATCAGCTCACATTTGACAACGCACTGCTGCTCCCTCCGTCCCCCTAGCTTTCAGCTCTGCTCTCAAGTTCAAACCGTCCATGGTTGTGGGTATGCAGGCGCAGTCCTGTGGAACATTACTAACTTACTAGAAACCTGCTGCAAAATGGAGGGGCCTGATGGGAAGCTCTTATTCGCATCTTCCTACATCTCTGACTGCACTACGGCCATTCCTGTCTTGGAAGAACCCTGTGCATGAGCTGGGCAATGCACAATGCAGTTTCGGCATTAGGCTGCGCCTGCCAAGTGTACCAGCCGTCCCTAGCCGTCGTTGTCGGCCACACCTCGACCTCTAATTCTAACGGCAGTGCCAGAGGTGGAGAGCGGTGGCTGCAATGCAGAGAGCAGTGAACAGTTAGTGGGAGACACCCAGAACGACACACGCGAATCCGTCAATTATGGTTTCACAGGGAGAGCTCACTGCGTGTTTTTCAGTTCTGTTCGCCATATTAGAACGGCTCCAGATTGGAATGCAGCAGAGATGCAGGTCATCCACAGGATCGTCAGCTCCTGGAGAGGCTGCACATGGTGGGTACAGACTTGATGCCTCTGCGGGGTGCTGTTCCTGTGACAGTCGGCCAATCCTTTCATGGGACTGTCGCTTTTCTCACCAGCTACATCAGGACTTGGTTGCGACAGTGGAATAGCCGAAATTTACTGCATGCAGAGGGAACTGTTGCGCAAGGAAGCTTGTTTTCGACAGCTGTAACATCTTTGCACGGCAGAGCTGCTGACACCGGCGGTGGTCTCAGTTATGATTGCTACGGGAGGTGCCTGCGCCGCTCGAACAACTATTAAGCATTACTGAGTTGGGTGATGCTGATACGCTCACACTTGGTATGATGAGTCTTGGCAATGCTCATGCAATGCTGCTACCAACACGTTGCTTGCTTGGTGCTTGCTTGCTTGCTTGCTTGCTTGCTTGCTTGCTTGCTTGCTTGCTTGCTTGCTTGCTTGCATGTTTGTCTTGTTGAGTGCGCTTTGTGATAGCCTGCAGTACCATACTACAGGCTATCTCAGACATGGCGATGAATCTGGTTGTGAAGTGCAGTCAACAGGAGTTTTGTCGAGATCTTAAGGCCCTATCACTGAATCATGGCTTTCTGCTGAATCCGTTGCTGGTCGTGTGGTTTTGGTGCCTTTGCATTTTGCCTGTCGAGTTGGACACCTGTCTTCCGCTTGCCAAATCCGTTCAAAGAACTTGCTCTCGCGCAAAGGGGGATCGCCTTCAGAAGTAGGGCTGAGTGCATTCGAAGAGCTTTCGCGGACGTAGGCTTGCCGTTGCGACGCAGTGCAGTTTCAGATCAGGAGGCTATGTTCGCTTCGGACTTCGACCCTGAAGGTTGTGGCCCGGTTAAGTCGTGGGGTAGCGACATGCAACGATTTCCGAACAAAGCGCAATCCAGAATAACAACCTGCTGACCCTTCCTTGAGGGCCCTTCCACTCACGACCACGCACCGAGAAAGGGTAACTCCAGTGTCATGCCGTCATGCCGCCTCCGAAAGCGCGAGATGTTTGCTGGCCGAACGGACAGTGAGAAAAGCAGAGCTGGAAGAAGGGGAGAGTTGGCAGGACAATGTCAAATCCATCCGAGAAATGCTGTGGTCTACACGCTAGTTGGTTGGAGTGTCCGACTGGGTCCAATTTTCAGAATAGTTACTTGATGTCCACCACCGGACCGTGACACATGTAAATTGCAAAATAGTGCTGAATTGATCTGAGGCAAAGCTGTGGAGGAATGCAGCGAGGCCCGCTGCGTCCCGTGCTTCGCAGGAAGCTGTCGGGTTTGAAGCGCGAGCACTAGAAGCACTTCCGTACGCTTTGCCTGCAAGAAACTCCAAACATCGCCTTGAGAGTGTGAAAGTAGACGACGTCGAGGCCCACCAAGTTGACAAATCCGGGGACACACGCGCCCGCAAGTCCTTAGCTGAGGCCTCCGGCCTAGATCCCTAGTATCTTGCGGAGACCGCGACCTTATGAACATCAAGCAAAGCGGACTGCACTGGACATAGATGGGCCAGTCTTTTGGATCCGGCATACGGCACCTGGTTCTCGAAAATGTTGACCCACAAATCGATGCACGATGCTCAGACTTGAGGCCGGATTTCGTCTGGGCCTGCAGTGAAGTGCACATGCTTCGTGCTCGGTCTCAGAACGATGTGTGCTCGAAGGTTCCTGACGTTGCAAAATGTTGCCGATTGCAGTGGCCATGAAAGTGATTCACCACCCTGTCGTGCACAAGAGCAGCTAGATTCATCGTCCCTGGTAGCATGATCCATGGAGGCAGCCCAAGTGGAACAGTCTGAAGTGGTGGAGGCGCAGGAAGGTGGAGAAGAGGCGCAAGATGGAGAAGAGGTTGAGGAAGAGCATGATCTCGACAAAGAAGAGAAAGACGGGGAAGGTGGCGACGAGCCGACAGGCAGGAATTGCTGATGGCTTCTCGGATCCTGGTGCATGTTTTGCATCAAGGTGAAGAGGATGAAGAAGTTCTCTTCCGAGCAGATTGCAAGCTTTGGAAGCTGGTTATCTGGCATTTTGTTCCTTTCCTGCTGCTTGTTGTAGCAGCAATCCCTCGAAGACGCCGTTGGCCAGGTCAAACTTCCAGCATCTGACTCCAAGGAAGGGTCAGAGGCACTTTGGGCTCTTGGAGCCTTCTTCTTCAGACTTAGTCTGCAGTGTTGGTCGCTCCTCGAATACTGCAGACTATACACCATCCAATCACGATCTGGTGCATGTTACTCGAGCAAGTGTTGGCTCTTCTGGAGTTCCTTTGTGAGCTTTTCCGTTTGTCGTGATAGCTTTTGACAGCTGCAGGGCAGAACTGCCCAAACAACTACCAGCCATTTTGTAAAAGTCCAATAAAATTTGGCGAGATCCAGCCATCCAAGTGCCGCCGACATGTTAAGCGGATAGGTGGAGGCAGATCCAAATCCAAAGACATTCCCAAAGATCAAAGAGATGAAAGTCGCCCATAGCCCAGCAGACACAGGATATCGAGAGGTGTAAACGAGGCTGTCGCGTCGGAGGCCCTCGGAAGGTCGAAGACATAACGCGACATGTGTGAAATTGGATGAAATTGGCTCGATGTTGCACTGCTCGCGCGTGTGTGTGTGTGTGTGGGGGTTGCACTGCTCGCAGACTCTCTCTATTCTCTATCTCTAGCAGAGTAGGCTTGGACCTGGCAAGAGAGAGGCTGTGGAATCGTCTGGCTCTCAGAGCAGCTGCCTCTCTCTGCTTCTCTCTGCTTTTTTCTGAGGTGCAGATCAATCGGCACAAGAGGACGCGAGCCTGTCGGCTGGTGATGCGCATGCGGGGCGTTTTGAAGCTCCTGCTGAACACGCCGGTTTTCCCAACGACAAGGTGCTGTGTCCTGGGGTCCTTGGCAACCTCGAACGCATGAGAGACAGGTACGAAATGGTTGGGCAAAAGTCTGTGCGCTTCGTCGGTGTTGATGCCGACGCGCATGAGGCCAAGTCCGAAAAAGCTCGGAGCTCAGGCCGCTATGTGAATGGCTTTGCATGTCCTGCGAAATTCTACATATTGACATTTATTGACCTGGACATGCTCTCAGGTGCCATTTTCCGCTTTCCGCTTGAATCTCCATAGCAGCGACCAGCAGGCTCTCCGGAATAGCATCATCTAAGTCCTGAGTCCACGAGGCTTGCGCATTGAAGCATCTTTTGCGTTATGGATCATCTTGAAGGCAAACAGCTGAGACACCCGCACAAAAAACTGCCAGGGCAAGTTCCTGGCCATTCTGCGCGACGCGGCCGATTCAGCAAAGAGTTGACGCCGGCAAGACGGAACAGGCGAGGTCAGCAGGGTCAGTCAAGGCTGGGAGCAGGGACATCCGAGGTTTTGCAACAAGTCAGCTTGTCCCAGAGCAATGTCGTGAGATACAGGTCTGAAAGCAGGCGCAGGCGACATGCAGCGGCACTGCCTGCGATGCGAGACTGCTTGACAGCGGGTTGCAGAAAAGCAATGCGTTGTCTTGCTGTCTTGCAGCAGGTAGAACCTGACCACAAGTGATGGGTTGGATGCAGACACTGGTAGCCTGTAGAAGCCATATGAACAGCCGCACCTGACCAGCCTATCTGCCATCGTCAGCTCAAGATGTAAGATGATGCCTGTCAACAGACCGTCTCAGAAACAGCTCATGTCATGCAAGCTCCATCGTGCTCAGCTTCAACACACAGCTGTGACAGAAGTTCGCCTCACGAAGCTTGGCTCTGCATCAGATGTCGCGAACATGACGGAACAGCTTGAGCAGGCCAGCTGAGAACAGCTAAGTGAGATGCAGAAAGAGAAGAGTCCCTGCTCAGTGCGGCTGTACCTACTACTGCAGCTGCCGAGACACTCCATCCCTTCCGATTCCCCTGGTTACCAGAGGGAGAGAGAGACGGAGAGACAACCATATCTTTTACTGACCACCCCTACAAAGCCCCCAAGAGGGGGGTGCACCCTGCTTCGTGCGGGGCCTGACACGCTCCCTATACACCGGAGAAGAAGAAGACAACCAGTGCGTGCTCGCGCGCGGAGGGGGGTGCTGTGCCCTTATCTTGACTGTGTGGAAGAAGAGCGAGAGAGAGACAGAGAGAGCTCCTCCCCTCGCATCCCAGGCATCCCCTTTGCAGCGTAGCTGTCGTTGTGGAGAAATGTCTTGCCCCCTGCTCGCTGCGCGTGAGGCCAAAGTGGTTGTTCGAGATTTCGTCCTGGAGATGCGCATGGGTCGACGCATGATGGTGTTGTCACCCACTGGCCAGCTGAAGGCAACTACATGTAGCTTGAACAGCGAGCTTTGTGTCTTGCGGATCACGCGGGCGAGCCAGGCAGCTTGGCACGCAAACAAGAGCATGGAAGAGCCGACTAAATTTCCAGCCGATTTTGTCCGAACACAGGTTGAACATGACAAGCCCACCAGGTCGTCACCGGCCGACACCGCCCTTCGAAAGCTCCATCTAACGGCACCCTTGTAATGTGCAGAACGAAAGCTGCACAAAAAGGATACTGGTTGCCAAGAGAAACTACGGTAACTACGGTGTATGCGCGCTTCTGTGTCCGTGTGCTACATATGTATACGCGTAGCACGTCAAAGCGTACCTTACAAAAAGAAACCCAGCGTTTACTACAACAGATGAAAGAACGCAGCATACACATGAAAAAGTGGTTTATTGTTTAAGAAGCGGATATAGAGATACCGGCGACTTTAAGCTTAGATATCTTAGATGACATCATTTGTAGTTGCAGCGCAGAAATGAAAATCTCTCCTGCCTCTAGTACCTCTCGGGTACCTCCAAGTAAGTCTGCGGTAGCTAAAACCTTAGGCCAAGATAACACAACCTTTCACAACATTGCAAAATGCAAATATCTCCTCCAGGAATGTCTCCGGTAGCTAAGCGTCTTGGGCGATACCACAACCTGTAAATACATTGCACACATTTTCCTAAATCTCCGGCACCTAAACCCTAAATCTAAACCCGAGACCAGAGACTCTGAACCCTCCTCAAACCCTGAACCTTGCCTCCGAAGCTTTGATGCCTACAGAGAAACAAGGGCCAAGGGCGTCGGGTTTACGGTTTATTCTCTGGTTTCGGATTTAGTTTTACGGTTTATATAGGACACATTCCTGGAGGTACCAGAGAGGTGCCCGAGACATGGGAACTGTGGGTGCTTGCAATGTATTTACAGGTTGTGTTATCTCAGCCTGAGGCCATTAGCTACCGGAGACATTCCCGGAGGTACCTGAGAGGTCCTGGAGGTATCTGGAATGTGTGTCTTGTGATGTTGTTAGAGGTTGTCTTATCTTAGCCTGAGATTTTAGCTGCTGGAGACATTCCCAGAGAGGTCCTGGAGATATCTGCAATGTGTGTTTCGTAAGGTATTTGCAGGTTGTGTTATCTTACTCAGCCCACGGAAACATTCCTGGAGGTACCGGAGAGGTACCAGAGAGGTACCGGAGATCTAGGCAATGTGTGTTTTGCAAAGTGTGTACAGACGGTGTTATCTTAGCCTAAAGCTACTCGCCACCGGAGGCATTCCTGCAGGTGCCCGAGACGTGCAATAGAGGTACTGGAGATAACTGAAATTTGTTTTTCGCAATGTAATTATAGGCTGTGCTGTCTCAGCCTAAGACCACTGGGCACCGGTTTGACTGTGGTAGCCTGCATAATAAATACATCGCCAAACGCATAGCAGAAATGTCTCCGGTTCATTGACTCATCCTCGGTAACTTTACCCGAACCCTAAACCCTCAGCATACTCAGCCAAACATTGGCTTACTTGTACGGTCCAGGGATGTGCGGGGTTTAAGCTCACGGTTCAGTACAGCTTTTCTCGCTTGGGGTTTAGGGATGTTCAGGTTCAGGGTTCGGGTTTAGCCCCTGCAAGTACCATGAAAAGACGAACCCTATGTTTGGAGATATATTTACTATGCAGGTTACCACAACACATTTTCGAAGCACGACCAGATCCACACCCGTACCTATATCTATATCTATATCTATACCTATAAATAGATAAATATATATATATATATATATGTATGTATACCTTCGTACAGTTCTACAGCTTCAGCTTTACCTATACCTTTATCTATGGTTCAATCTGTATCTTTATCTCTATATATGTAATATTATGTATTATGCAATTAAAAATATACTATTTTTAAAACAGTAGATATGGTCGATTATGCATTTTGTATTATATATGCTGTATATATCTTGTGTTAAGTATGCCAGCTGCTTCGCTCCCACCAGAGCATGGGTTGTTAGAACATCTAGCACCTTTGGTTCGCTGTTGTTCCATGCATTTCATGCGAGCCAAAAGTCAATCTGTGTTGACAGCATCGAAGGCAGGACCTGCCCTGACTGCGGTGTCAGGCAATACTTTGGATCTTGCATTTGTATGTAGTCAGGTCTTTTGGGAAACAGCGTACTCAAAATCGTAAATGAATGAGTTTTTGCAAATTCGAGAAACAAAGCTCGGCTGTCTTTTGTCTGGTCGTTGATTGTGTGTAAACATGCAATGACACTGCGCAAAATGTATGCCATGAGGCTAAGCCCTCGAACGTTGATGCTACAGTAGCAGCTTTCAGATTGCTGCCGATCTTGAGGTTGCTTGATGTGGCTGCCTTTGCGATAACCGGCATCTCTTGCCTCTGTCTCGCTGCAGCATCAAGCGAAGATTGCTGACTTCTGGATGTCTTTCTATCGGGTGGTCTTGAACAACCCTGGCACTGTAACCGAACCTTTCGTTTGCGTCTCCCTGTCATACATCTTCGTGCTGGTCTTATCAGTCATTTTGAAAAGCCTCTGCGCTGCCAGTGTGGCTCGTCTCCAGAGTGCTGCCTTCAAGTTACGCCATAAGGACCTAGATAAACGTCGACTTCGATTACGAGCCCCGTTATCCCGACGCCGAACAACCGGAAAGTCTTTGACATCCCTCTGGAGCCACTCTGTCAGTGATCTGACACTGTCCCGGGGTAACGTCTAGAAGGTGTGGCTTTTTCGTCTGCATCTTGCCAGCCTAGAACTATAGATTCTTTGTTACGGGAAAATTTAAACATTTCCCCTGTGACTGTTGCAGAATTGTTGTTGTGGCCTCAAGTGCTGCCTGGATGGTGCTTTGCTACTTCTCTCTACTAGTCTCTCATCTTCTCAATCGCAGTCACTCATGGGCAGCTTGATCATGGAGTTCGTCTCCCAATCTGGCTTCTGCAAGCGTTACTGCATACGAGTATCTGCTGCAGCTTCTGTATCTTGGGTGATATCTTGTGTAACAAACTGTATATGAAGTTCTTCTGCACGATCAATGATAAAACTCCGCATGCTCAGCGGTCTTTGTCATACATTTCCTCCGTCACTATTTGTTCTCGTCGGTGGGTCTGTGTCATGGTTAGTTGGTGCCAGTGTATCCCGTCTCATCGTAAGCCGTAAAGATGTGGAGGAGGGTGGTGAGCGCTAGGTGAATCGTCTAATCAATCTTGCTGATGTAATTTGTGACGACAAGCTTGTGCCATCCGCCCTTTCAGTATTGACAATAATTTCCGTAGGAATCCCAGTAATATAAAGGCAATCTCGACGAGAATGATATGTAGGCATACTTTTCAAAAGCATTGCGGTCCGCTTTGTTTCGAAAAGTACTGATAGAAACTGGCGACGACATAAACTTCTTGCCGGCTTCGTAATGGCAATGCTCCTGAAGAGCTCTTCCCTGTGCATATGCGTTCTGTATCAGCCAACCTGTTACACGTACCCGGTCTTGAAACGCAGCTTCACGTGGCCATGATTTGATGACCATCTTGAACACGTTCTCTTGTACTCTCTCCTTAACAATCTCATGCATGAAGTCCGACATTCCTCGTAAGTCATCGATTTCATCATCGTGTCGCTTGGCGAAATCTGTCAGCCTCTGTATCTGGTCAAGGACATCAACTTGCTGACCACTGGCGTTCGTGGGATCTTACGATTGCCCACGACTTGGCTACCATTTCTGAATGTTGGGCAATGGCATTTCCCGTCGTGGGATTTGTCATTGCCCCGGAGTTGGTTAACATTGTGGGATTCGTCGTTGCCCAGAATTGGCTAACTTTTTAAGGCGTTGAGCCATTTCGTGGGCAGTGGCAATTCCCATAGAATTGCCATTGCCCACGAGTTGGCTAACATGTCTTAAGTTTAGCCAGCTCGCGGGCAATGCCACATCCGCTTCGGCTTCCGGGTTCAGGGTGCTGGGTTAGGGTTGTCGGTTCAGGGTTCCGGGGTTAGGGTTTAGGGTTCCGGGTTCCGGCTTAAGGTTCCATCGGGTTTCGGGGTTACTGCTGGGCTCTCCTGAAGTCCAGTAAATATGCCGTCACAGATCGAAGTCCATCAAGTGATGCCGTAACAGATCGGCTCCTGAAGTCCGGCAAGCGATATCGCAACAGATCGGCTCTTCAAGTACTTCAAAAGATGTTCGGTAGATTTATACCTTGTAAAAGCGCCCAACCTCACTAAGTCACATTCTAAATTCACTGGAAGTCGGTAAAGGATTCCTTAAACCTCCTCGAAATACCCTGTACCCGGGAAAACCCGAAATCCTTGAGATCTCGCCGCATCCTCTGCAGGCATTGCTAAACAGAAGATCATGAGAAGACCATACAAGGCAATCTTACCGCAATAGAAGTTCCAGTTCTCTGGAGATACATCCTGTGCTTCCAAGGACTGATATTAAGGTTAAGCCAACTGAGGAAAACTTCCAAATGCGTTATGACTGTAGTTTGTTACCAAGCACATTTACGAAATCCAATTGTTCATTATGTTTCTGTGGTTGAACTATAACAGGTTCGTGCTTCAGTTTTAGTGACTTGTGTGGTTATCTATTTATTTCGTCTCTTCCTACAAGCTTTCGCTACATGAGATCACTGTTTCACTTCGTTACATTGTACTTAATTAGGCGAAATAAAACAAAGCGGTTCGCTTCGCTCCCTTTTTTTCTGTACAGCACATGGCTGTTGTTTCTGGTTACGTTCATTCGTTTGCTATTGTGTCATGGCATTTCGCGTATTTGTTTCTCTCTTTGCAATTTACTTCATGCAAGCACGAAAGCACTACTACTACTAGTGGTAGCGGTCGCAACTGCCCGACTCCCCGCCACTGCTGAAAGCCGGCAGGGCATCCCAGACTCAACAACTTCAAGGGACCAAAGCGAGGGGAGCAACACCACACCCAAAAAGACCAAATACACCAACACATCCAGGGAAAATGCCAATTGACACAATGCTTTTCCGTTTTGTGTTTCTTGGTTTGGATTTCAGCTTCTTTGTTTGGTCTTGGGCGTCCTTGAGATTTTGGTTCTGCTAGTTTGGGTTTCTCTGTTTTGTTTTGATGTTGGTTTATTTGGCGTTTTTGGGTTTGGCTTCGTCGGGAAGATTGGAATCTCCTCAAGGTTTGATTTTTTGGCTTGGGCTTCTGCGTTATTGATTCCGATTTTGCTACATATGGACCCATGTGTACAACTAGCGAAGCACAGGGGTCATCTTCCGACCCCAAGACGCCGAGTGATACAGCCGGCGGCTGTATCTGTCGAAACTCGCAGTGGGTGAGGGTATGTATGGATTTTATGTGTATACATACTATCATAATATGACTTTATACGTATTATTCTTGCAGAAAACCACGTCATGGGGGCCTGCGTTTTTATATAGTCAAGTAAGTGATTCTGTATGGTTTGGGTCCAGTAGAGTATGCATAGATTTGTGATTGTTACAATCGCAAATAATTATTGTACATCTTAAACACTATACTTGCCTTCTACTTGGAACA